ACCCCCAAAACCCCAAAACCCCAAAACCCCAAAACCCCAAAACCCCAAAACCCCAAAAATATATAAAGACTGGATATCATATAATATATAAAGATGTTCAATATTAGAAGAATCTTAAATAGAGGTAGCACTCTTACAAAGACTGTTTCTAGAAAATTCAGTACTGGTGGTGGAGGACCAAATCTGAATAATATGGCTAGAACTGCAAATATGACCTTATTTGGAATAGGATCAGCAGGACTTATATATATGATCTACAAATCCAGAGCTAATATTCCACGTCAGGCTCCTCTTAATGCTTCTCATCAGGAAGTAATGGCTTCCCAGAATACTATTGCTCAACCAAGAGTTACTCAAGGATTAATCAATCCAGTAGTTGAATCAAGAGTTCAGAATGCTCTTGCTTATTTCTGTGGAGGACTCGGCTTAACTGGTCTCTCTGTTGCATTGTTCAGAAACACAACCTTGGCTTATGCCAATCCTTTCTTGCTGTTCATTCCAGCAATTGCTGCCATGATTGGAACTCAGTACTTGAACTACCACACTCAATCAATCCCAAAGCACTTAACTTGGGGAGCTTTCTGTGGACTAGAGGGTCTTATGCTTGCTCCACTTATTAACATGGCTGGCATGCCAATAGTATTCAACGCTTTGGCTGCTACTGGAGCAATGATGGGAGCTCTTGGTGCTTACGCTTACAACACCCCAACTAAAGACTTCCTCTCAATGGGTGGAGCTTTGTCAATAGGACTCTGCGGACTTATTGGAGTCTCATTCGTCAACATGTTTTGGCCTTCTCCTCTCTTAATGTCCCTTTCCCTTTATGGTGGACTCCTTCTCTTCGGAGGATTTGTAATGTATGACACACAAAAGTTGATCCACAACGCTAGCACAAAGCCATCATGGGACCCAATCAACGAGAGTATTGGAATCTACCTTGATGCAATCATCATCTTCCAGAAATTCTTGATAATCTTCATGAACAACAAAAAGAAGAAGTAATCACCCAAAAAATTTATGGTAATTTCTAGACCAATAATCTCAATTTTTCCTTTTCCAACAGGGGTTTTGGGGTTTTGGGGTTTTGGGGTTTTGGGG